AAATATGAGTAATATTGAAAATATATAATTAACATTTTCGTCAAGTGTCTTATATTAAGGACAATCAATCCTTTCACAATACGGCACTCTATAATAAAGACTGGAAAAAATATGTATAATTGTGTAGTTTTGATAAAAATTTAAAAATGCTGTTTATATAATTTTTTTAATAATGATGTTTATTTTAAATTTTATAAATAAATAAATAATTATATAATCTCAATAAAAAGTAAGAAAATAAATGTAACATTATTTTTTGAAAAAAAAATAAAAGTGATTGGCGAGAAAGAAATATTATTCCTCAAATGCTTAATTAAATTGATCACAGAGAGGTTAGATAGGCGCAACACAGAGACATTGCTAAAGGAATGAATGCTCCGATCATAAAAGGAACCGACCAGCTTGCTCCATTTGCAAAATAAAAAGTTCTGCCTACTTAATAAATAAATATGGATAAACTTAAATATCCTCATTTAATAATTATCGTTATCGTATTTACATGGAGGAGCATGATGACGTAGATTACATCCTTTTTGCTCCCACTCACTCTTGCAAGTGCTTTGAATTATTGTTATTGTATGTATTTAGACATGGCACGTTGATGGCTGCGTTTTAATGCTCGAATAAATTACATCACTCGCACTAAGAGTAGGAAGAGATAAATACCGATGCCCACTATTAAAGTATATCATTTAATTATAATCTGACCTGTCTAATTGTTACTTTATTATTCTCAGTGGTTTGGTCATATTTACAATTAGATGGTACTAAAATGGCAAGTTTAATATTAAGAAACTATGTCCCATTCATTGTAAAGATATGGCCTATTGATCAAGAAAGTTTTTTCTCATTTTCTTTATTCAAATCACTTATTAGAAGGATTAATTTCTCTTTTCAACACGCTAAGCTAAACTAAGATTCTAGGTCATCCATGGAATTTTGTTTTGGTAATAGGTAATAAATTTCATTACTACAAATTAAAACAATAGGCTTTACATGTTTATAATTCACTTCTAATGTATTTCGCTGAAATTAATAAAAAAATCTTAAAATTTATTAACTAGATCTTAAAAATTAGTAAGTTTCAAATTTTGCTTATATTAAATAAACATTTTTTTGACAATACATCTTCTCCTACTAGCATTTTATTTAATAGGGTGTCAAAGAGGAAATTTGCTGTGATAAAAAGTTAATGGCATGCTATGTTAATGTGATTAAACATATTCTCTCTTTACCTTATAACTAAAAATCATGTGAAATACAAAAACAGCAAATTCGAAAGATAATTATTTGCTCAAAAATACAAGAAGAGATAATTAATAATTAAAGGCTTTCTTATCTTTTTTTCTGCACACTGAATGCATGTTTAGATATTAGTTGTATAAAATGGAGTTGAAAAACTCAGGCTCGTTTGGTATGATTGAATAGTTTTTGATAGAATTAGAATTGGAATCAGAATTGGAATAAAATTGAATTATAAAAGTATGTTTGGTATGTCAGAAAAATTAGATGGAATCCTTGCATTACTTTTGTTTGGTATGCAAGACATGGAAATGGAATTATACTTAAAAGACAAAAATACCCCGATATAAAAATTAAAATAAAACATAATAAAAACTTAATTGTGTACCAATAAAAACATTTAATAAAGGTAGCAAGGAAATACAAGAAAATCAAAAGTTTCCCTTTCTAAATAATAAAAAATCCAGTAAAATATTTTACAAAAAATATTATAAATATCTTATATATATATATATATATATTATAACATTTTATATATAATGAGCAAAAATATCAGAAACTAGGAGTGAGGTGAGGGTTTTATTTTTTTTGAGGGCAAATTTGTCTTTCTGGAATTTGTATGAGGGCAAAAGTGTCTTAAATGTTACAATTCTATAGAATTGCTCCCAATTTCATAGCTTTAAATAAGGAATTCAATTCAACCTCTTTTCATGAAATCAGGATTCCCAAGAATTGTAATTCATATCTACCAAACATCACTTTATTCAGATTCTTATCCCAATTTCATTTCCATCTTCACAATTTCAACCTACCAAGCATGGCCTCAGTTTTGCAAAAAGTAACCTTATATTTGCATCAAGAAAGTTGAGGTTTGAGAGGTAAAAACAGGTTTAACAAAAATAGTAAAACAAGTATTTAATGCTAACACTCTAAAGATGCCTATATTATATCGTGCTAAAGAAACTCAATAGGATCTTGAATTTATACGTATAAATCATGCTTTAAACATTAACTAGAGGTGTGTCAGTGAATTACACAAAGTAAATTGCATCTATAAATACTTAAATGGGTTAACCCTTAAACTATAAGTCTTAAAGCATTTAAGACTCTAAACTCATTTTTAATATAATGTTCTCTTTCAAATTTTTAAAATCATACAGTACAATCGGTATTGCTAATAAAAGCTAAAAAGTTATAAAAAATATCTAAAAAGCATAAAAAAAGAATAAGAAAATTCAAAAAAGGACTCAAAATTACAAATAAGGATCTAAAAAATTACAAAAAAGAACTAAGAAATTTTTTTGTCCTTTTATATAATTTTAATATAATTTTATATAATTTTTATGTCAACCAATAGTTGAAATTAATATTTACTAACAACAGAGGTTATATTATATCATTTTGAAAAGCTAAAGGAAAACATTACAGGGACTTTAGTAAATTTAGCCAATATTATATGGCTAAATATAACTAATAACCCACCATTTCTTAAATTAAGATAATGGGCCTTTCACAATATCCTAATTTCCCTTTTTCACATTGGTTTTACTTTCACCCACCTGAAAATGTGGAGACAACACTACACTCTTGGTCACGACGATGAAGAAACTGACAGTAAATGACAAAACTCATATCAATGGATAAACAGAGTTAGATATTCAGTTAGGAGACTACACGAATGCAAGGTGAGGTAGACTAGAAGCTACAAATTCAGGTTGAAAAATCACGAATGCAAGGTGAGGAAGTTCGGTCAAATTTTGTTACAAAAGCTAGAGTTCAAGCGAAGGTTTCTTGAGATTTTGTTTGCTCTGTTCTGGACAAATAATTAGGTGTTTTTTGTGTTATTGATCTGTGATATTACATCATTAATATATAATTTATGTCTGATTATCTAGTTATGTTGATCTATAATAGTATATCAGTGATATACTATTATATATCACTAATATATAAGCTATATCAGCAAAAAAACTTATCAATTTGTTTATTATTGATATACAGCTGTATATGAATAATATAGTATTGCGGATCAATAATGGAGTTTCCTTTTTAATGTTTAATATCCTTTTCATAATATCTAGGAAAAACAGAGAGGGAGAGAGAGGAGAAGTTCTATGATGAAGATGGTAATCTAGAAAAATTAGATCAAAAATTTTGATGAAGAAAAGCATTGTATGAGAGATGAATATGAAGATTCAAGAAAATCATATCCAAAAATTTGATGAAAAAATATTCAGAGATAATAAATTAGAGAGAGAGAGCATGCACAATACGATTTTTGATAATAAAAATGAAAGATCCAATTAGTTAAAAATTAGTTAAATTAAATATATTATATTTTAATGATAAATTTATTCTAAGGAAAAAAAAAGAAAGAACACATCTAATTAATTTTATGAGTGGGCCATATTTTAAAATATTTAAAAACTTCATCCATAATGTATTTTTTGAGGCTATTGAACTAATTTTCTCAACATGAAAAACAAGTTTATAATCTAAGATGCTGTTAGATTTATAGTTTATGATTTAATTTTCCATTTAATTCTAACTAATTAGTTTGTATTTTCAAGGAAAAAAAAAAAACGCACGCACAAGTATACACACTTGTTTGTTCCAACTAAAAAATAAATAAATAAACATATGCTCGCACCGAATCATAATTGGGCCAAGCCTATTAAGCCGCAAAAAACGTGCTACGTCTAACATACGAGTTTGAAAGCCCATTGGAATTATAAAGACGCAAAAGTCTTCATTGCAAATATTTTTAAGTGGTCAAAAGACATCTTATTAACTTGTAATGCTACGGAATATAATTGTTTCAGAATCCATAGGAAAATTATTTTCTTTAATATCCAACAACATATATAAAGTATGAAGAGCAGGCAAATTTTTAGGGTAAGATACCAAAAACATACCCTGCCTAATATATTTTTCCAAAACTATAGAGACTAATCTCTTTCAAATATTGAAGATACTCCTCTAGATCCAGTCCTCTTTATACAATAGAGAGAGAATAATTTTTGTTAGTCTCATTTATAAGTTACTTAGTTAAGTTTTCATTATAAATTTACTTTTTCATCCTCCATTAAATGCTGCAGAGAGAAAACATGTTAAAATATATATATTTAATGGGGACAATATTAAAAATTTATTTATTTGATATCAATAATATGTTAAAAGTAATTATAAATAGGATTATAAGAATAAAAAGCAAACATCTGGGATTTGGGGTATGCCCTCTCAGCTGCCCCCTCTGTTGTCATAAATCTTAACCCTTCATTTTAGTTAATTATTAAAGAAAATTCATCTAATTTCTATATCTAAAGCAATTATTTGTTTTTGAAAGATAAAGCCTAATGATATTCAATACACTTATGTATCATTAATCTTGAAAAGTTTCAGTTTTGGCGAATTTTGATATGGATTCTTTATTTTGATTTATTTGCAATCTTAAAGTAATCCTCCAATAAAAATATGAAACTAATCGTGGAATTTGCTATTGTTTGTATTAATTTTTCAAAATTAAAATTACTTAAATTGCATAATTAAGTTGAAATATGTTACAAAATATATTGAATGGATTAAGTGGATTAGTTAGTCAAGGTGAAATGTCAAAATAAATGGTTTCTGAAATTAAAAAAAATTCAAAAGTGATATATATATATATATATATATATGAATTATATACATTATAAGCCCCTTCAACATGTAATAATAATTTGCTGTGAAATAAAATTGTATTAAAAACAATCCACATTTAACAACTAATTGCTTTTGAAAGTTGAATCAAATGGCAATCAATACACTCACCCACAACATGTATATGAAGTTGAAGAATATTAAACCAGAAACAGCCACATCTCATCACATCCATGTATCTCTAATCAGAAACTAGCTCTAGATGGCTTAAACTCTAGAGCATATGCTCATACTTCTAAAAAGAAATGCTAGCGCGCACACAGATTCTCCTGTAAGGTAAGATTTGGGGCCAAAATTAATTAGGTCAAGCCTTCAATTCCCCCAAAATATAGTCTTGAACTGTTGAGGCCGGATTAATCTGGGAGCTGAGGGTTGTGCGGGGAGAGCTTTTGAGCGGCGTCGAGGTCGACATGGACGAAGGCTCGCTCGATCTCAGGGAGCTTCTCGAGCTTGTTCTGGAGAGTCTCGCCGATGTCGTGAGCGTGAGGAAGAGGAGTGTGTTTAGGGAGCACGATGTCAACCTCCACGAAGTAGTTGGAGCCGAAGGTGTAGGCCCTCACGGTGTTGATGTGCTTGATCCTCTCGTCGTGGTTCCATATCAGGTACGTCACCTTCGCCAAGTACTCTGCCGGCGCCGTCCTTCCGATCAGTGACCGCACGTTCTCCATCACCGTCCTCGACCAGTTACTTATTGTGTATACTGCTATCTGCATTTATTTGTTTGTTTGTTTGTTCGCTAGCATGCATATTCAAAACACTTAAAACAATACATGGGCCGAGCTTTAAGTTTTGGGGCTGAAACCTTAGATCAATCTAAAAGCAAGATACTAAAAATCAAATTTACTATGCACCAAAACAAAAATAATAATAAATTAATTATTAAATTGATCAAGACTAATTTAAACATTAATTGTTAAAATTGTAGTCAAACCTAAAGCTGTGTAAGCAATCCAATGGTCCAATATGCCTAACCCTACTTGAATCATTCGAATCCTTTGGGCTAGGTATTGAGTTGGGGGTCAAACCCTATGTAAACACACACACATATTTTTATTTAATTTTTTGGTAAAAATAATTGTTTTGGAATGTAATATTTCTTGATATATTTATGTATTGTCTTGTTTTTATGATCATCATCATTTTTTTATGATTTTAGTTTTTTAATATTTTCAAAATTTTAAAGCAATTTTTTTAACTTAGTAATAAATGATTTTTAAATATATATAATTTCAAAATTTATTAATTTTCATTTAAATGTTAGTTTTACTTAAAATATATTTTAAATGAGGGTAATTATAATTTTAATAAGAATGATTTTTTCATTATTTTATAATTTTTTTTAAAAAAAATTCAGGTTGAGCCAAACTTGGCTCAAGCAATTGGGCATCCAAGGGCCCAAACTGCAAATTAGGCCTAAGCAACAAGTTGGGGTGATGCTGGCTCAACCCGACCATGTGTACTCTTAGCTGAACTTTGATTATTCTAATTATGAATAAAATATTTTATTAGATGGAGAATTCATTGGTTTATTATGGTAAAGGGTAAATTTATTGTTAGTGAGTGAGATGTAAGGTACGTACGATGATGGCTCCAAGAGGGTCAAGCCACCAGAAGAATTTGATAGCTAAAACAGCAGAGGCGAGGCCAACAGTGTTGGTGATGACATCGAAGAAATGATCCTGTGCGTAGGCCCTCACGATCTCATTCTTGAACCTCCTGCAGTAACTCATCAGCCCTACTTTCACCACCGTGGCTCCTATCATTATCCCCACCATCCATTTCTCTTTCTCTGAATCCCTCTCTGGCTGAGCCTATACGCACCCAAACCCATTAATTAAACCATAATTTTCATCATCATTATTTTTCCAAGCTTGCTTCGTTACTCAGACATACCTTTGCGATGATTTGCCTTGCTGATTCAAACAGAATTTGCAACCCCAGCGTTGCCATCACTGATGCAAACACCACTATTCCCTACAGAAGAAAATTACGCATATACATGAATTGATGATAACGAACAATATCTTATGTACCCAATGCAGCGAGCTGAATGTATATAAAGGACCCAAATGAACAAATCTATATTAATTTGACTGGAGTTTCATCAACGAGAGATGATCATTTGACAGAACACTAGCTTTGCTGGGGTAATGAACTGTGCAAGTCGATTCTCCATTCCACTCCACGTCTAGAAACTGAAATGAAAATATGATGGGTTTCACCTGACATTTGGGACTATCATGGTCGTGTTTTTATTTATGGGCTGGACTGTGAGACAAATTATGGAAATGGGCCAGGGGTTTCTCAAAGGGCTAGAAGTTGTATGAAGATGAACATTAGGGTTGGGGAAACATCGTCAGTGCTTGTCAAAGGGATGAGCACCATGGTGTTTACCACCTCCAACAAATTTTGGATTGTTTAGATTTAATCTAATTTGAACGGTCAAGATTTAAAATTTTTAATTTGTATTTTTATGTGAAATTTTGTTATTGTCTTATATGTCCCTTTGAGTGACTTCTTTCTTTTCCTACTGTCACTGTTTTGGAACTTGTCTTTTTTAAATTGTGCTAGCTGGCCTTAGTTGATCACTCTTGATCCTCGCTAAGTCAACCAGGAGGCAAAGAAGTTAGAACACAAAAGAGAGTAAAGAGTTTGAATAAAAGAACTTAAAAGCTTTTACTATTTGTTTTTTAGTTACAAACAACGAGTTAGGGATATTTATAGACTCCCAACTTCCAGAAGTTTCCCTACCTCCTTAATGGATAATAAAAATCAATTCGATTCAATGATTTACGTTGCTTCTATAAAATATTCTATAGAAATATTTAAGATATAATAAGAAAAACTCTGTATTATATAAGAGAGAGATATCCTTAAAATTATCTAGATATTTCTAACATTTTTCACAGTACTCTAGAGATATCTAAGTCTTTTTGGAGGGTACTAGTATGTTCTTGAAGATTTTGGTGCTTTCTTGATTGTTTTGGATCATCCTAGTCTCCTCTAGATCATTCCGGAAGCTTTTAGAAACATCTTAACCTCATGAATTTGCAGGTATTGACAAACTGTGCTCTCAATTCTGCTCTTCTCCTTCTATTTTCTTCTAATTTCTATTACTATTCTGCTATTTCATTTTTGTTTCCTAGCTGTATCTAAGAAACTGGAGCATGTGGCTTATGCATTTTATAATACAGCAGTAGCAACAATTTCCATTATTTTCTGTTCTGGTTTGTTATTTTTGATTAAGAGTTGGGTGATCATGAGAGGCACCATCAAAACCTCTATATTTGTCCGTCTTCACCTGTTTGATTTTGGACTTAGACAGAGACTTTCTCATTTCTCAAGCTCCATGTAATGGATGGGATCCAACTTACACCTAGTTGATCTAAAACAAACAAAAATTTAACAATTTAACTCAAAAAAGGTATTAATTAATCATAAATTACCACAGGTTGCATGCGATTCTTGCCGATGGGGTACTGGTGAAGATTGGGCTTGTTCATGGCATAAGAAGTGAACCAGAGAATGAATCCAGACAAGAGATCCAAGAGGGAGTCCAGGGTGGAGGCTATCACTGCCAGTGATCTGCTCTCTATGGAAGCAAACAACTTGGCTACAAACAGCACCATGTTACATATGTTTGACGCATATATTGCTGCCTTCTCTCCCCTCTCTAGCTTCTTCGTCTCTTCCTACAATTCATAAACATCGTCATGACCAGTGCAACTCATTTCTCAGACTCTGTACAATACGAAAAAGGGCAAGTAATTAAAGAATTAAACCTCTGTTAAACTATTGGGTAATACGCCCAATTCAGTATAGGAATCCACTTCCTGGTACCCTTGAAGAACCTTTTCCTGCCTATTGTAGTACTTTGCAAGTCTTCTCTCTCTTCCTGCTTTTAACAGATGAAATGGTGAGATGATCAAAGTTACTTACAGAGACAATTATAGAAGTGGTTGATTAATATATATGAGAGTAAATTAATACTTAATGTGTTGAGGAAGAAGCCGAAGCCAAAATGAGCGTGCATGTTTCTCTCAGGCAAGCGATACTGATCCATGTTGATCCTCCACGAGGACTGTCTTGTAGCAGCCATGGTTCCATTCTGCAGTTTTGATAAGGCTGGAGAAAGAAGCTCTGTTCTGTAATCAAACGACTCGTTTCGAAGATCATCCTCCATTTTTGCTCTCTAATCTTCTTCTGCTCCTCTAAGACTGAGAATATATATATATATATATGTATATATGTATATATACAGTGAAAGCCTTCATTAAACAAATGGGGTTTATTATATACGTTTTATTCTATGGTTTGGGTGAAAAGTAACAGAGATGATAGGAACTTCATTATGCTATAAAAGGCATGGAGAATGCATGCTTGAAACCAAAACCACTGCCAATCAGTCCTTCGTCTTTAAAATTTAAATTTTCGTACGATCTCTCACAAGTTGACTTTATCAGCTTTTTGTGCGTGTGTGTGGTGTGTGGAGTTCATATAGAATTATTTATGTATATTGTATGAAAGGAATATTCTCATTGTGGAATATCAATGTGCATGGCGTTTTATTCACATGTGAAGCTTTAGTTTTGTTATTATTTGGGTACAATGATCGAAGTTCTTAATGGCAAAATGGTCAATTCCCAAGCAATTTTTTTTTTTTATGTTGTGCATTGGTATCCTCCAATGAAGATCAAATATAAACACGTCTTTTGATAAAAATTCAAACTTTAATTTGTTGTATTGTGAAAAATAAACTCTTTTTATTAAATTCAATTTTTATTGATTTTTTTTATTAGTAGTTGGTTTTAACTTTTGACTAGGTCACTATGAAAAGCCAGTATAACAAAACAGAAGATATACTCTATATATATATATATATATATGTGATTTGATTAAAATTTAATCTATGTGGTGAAATGAAAATTAAGTAAATGAATATGGTTTCTGAAGTGAGAGAGTATGGCGATTATTATTTTAAATAGCTATTCCTCCAGGAAGTTTCCAAAAGCTTTAATTTAGGGATAATTGTTGTGTAATAATAGCATGGAACATGAATGAGCATCGATGACTGGTCAGCCCCCATTTTGATGGAAAGTTTCATAATATTCAAAGTCGTCTTAATTGTATTACACGTTTTGTGAAGACAATTAACAATATAACTGATTCTATGAGACGTATATCAGTTTGATCAGTCATGTTTTTCTTTTTTAAAACTAATCATGTTTTGCATCCAAATCATGGTTATTTTTATTAAGTTAAACACAGATTTATCATTTTGTTATAAACAATGAAATTTGTTAATTTATCATTTTTTTTTGCCAGAGTTAATCTATCATTTCAAGCTTATCATACAGATAACTTTTTTTTTTTTTTTGCCAACAACGTAGAAACAACTTCGTTAAACATTAATTTATGCATAAATAATGTTCTCAAACTTCAGATTATATACAATTAAGCTCCTTGAATAGCAAATTAATTAAAGACAAAAAAGTTAAATATTGTTCAAATGTAAAAATAGTAGTTAACCACTCCATTGTGTCTAATATCTGTATCTATTGCTTCAAGGCATTAATCATGTTACCCTTCTTTCGTCTGCGAACTAACATAGTACAAACAACAAAATTACACAATTAGGTGACCAAAGCACCGCAAAAATATATTTTAGAAAGTAAATTACCCAAATAGCTCTCCCCCTTCCTCGAGCGAAGCACCCTTCTCAGATATACATATAAGATGTGTTTGCATAAAGCTTCAAAGAGGGAAATTTCAGTTAGGATTTAGGATAAAATATCAATTTAATAATAATTAAGTTCACAATAAAATATTTTTAAAGATAGTTTACAAATATCAATTTAAAATACAATTATAAATAAGATTTATATATAAAACTTAGAGTTCAGTTTCAGTGCTCATCAAGTGATAAGTATCACTATGTCATCACTTGATGAGCATCTAGACCGTCTAGATTAAAGATTTTATAAAATTTATTTTTTTAATTTTATTTTATATTTATTATAAAAAAATTATAAATTTTAATAAATCTACTTTATAATCAATTTAGGGTCCGTTTGGATTTCAGTTGGGCATAATAGATTATGAAAATAATTGATTAAGTGGTAGATTTTAATCATAATTGATTATGTTAGAACGCAATCTGTTTGGATGTTGTTTTTCTAAAATTGATTTTAACAGAATTGAAGATGTTTGAATAATTTTTTTAGAATAAATTTTAACTGTTTAAATTACCATAAAGGATATTGCTTTTTAAAATTAAATTATTAATAAATTTATATATAATAGTATTAAAGTTGTTACGTCTTATTTAAGAAGTAAAATATATTATTGGTTTTATTTTTATTAAATTTTGGAATTTTTTTATAATTTTTTCTTGGGTCTTTGTTTGTAATTTTCTCCAATGCTTTTTGATGGATTATCCCAGACGCTCCAATTGCCAACTTCTGAAAAAAATCAATTTTAACCAATAAAATCGATTACATGATTTTTACGTGTTTGGATATATTTTTGGTTAATCGATTTTAACAGTAAAATAATTGATTATTTTGTCTAACCAAACGGGCACTTAGATAATACAGATTTAATTTAAATGGTTCAATTTAATATTACTTTTTAAAAAAATTATAAATTGACTATCCAGATATACTTTGGATTCATCTGGATAGTCAATTTATAATTTTTTTTAAAAAAATTAATATTAAATTGAACCATTTATCTAGATTGATGATAAAGTAAATTTATTAAAATTTTATATTTTATAATTTAATAAATATATATTAAAATATATAAATAAAATTAATAAATTTAGATTGTCCAAATTTCAGATTGCTCGGTGATGAGTACCAAAACCAAACCCATAAAACTTAAATGTTTGCAATTTAAAATCTTAAATTTGCAACAACTTAAATTGATTTTTATAATTTATATTTAAAAAAAGTATCTTCTTGTCCTCATACTTTTACTTAATTTTCAATTAAGTGCTTATAATTTTTGAAGTTTATAAATCAATCCTTATATTTTAGTCAGTTAAAGGGGCTAGTCCTTACCGTTTGGATGGCTTTAACTCCGTCAATTCCCTAATGATGTGGCAAACAGTCTTCGTAAGTAGTGCACAATCATCGACGAACAATTGTAAAAGAGACCTTTTGACAATTTCTAACGTGGCATTTGGAACCGTCTTCGGCGACTCCAACCAATTAGAGTGCCATATATTGGGGTCACAAGCTTTAGCAGGAAAACCATTACTACTAAACATAGAAGCATGGGTTAATGTCCATGTTCGAATCAAAGTTCTCATATCCCTCGGGCACGACCAAGTTACATGGAGGAGGAATCATGCATTACTTACGAGATGATGCCAATGACTGATCAAGCATAATAAAAAAAAAAGTTTTAACTTTAACTTACCATACTGAAGTTTAATATATCCTCATTTGTAAAGTCACATATGAAAGAAAGAAAAGTACGTGTCATTTTGAATTCTGTTGTTAAAAATAAATCTATGTCTCTGTGTAGAAAAACAAGGGAGAACATAGACAATCAATGAGATCTAAAAAATCACCCCCTTGAGCGGGGCCATGTGAAGATATTTTGAGACCTAAGGCAAAATTATTAGTAAAGCCTAGCATGTGTAATTGTCTCTTGAAAAAAAAAGTGCATTCATCATTTTTTACAAAATTATATGTTAAAATTTTATAATATAGTGATTCTAATAAAATATTAAATTAATTCAATAGTTAAATAAAAATTAGTATTGACAAAGTGCTCCTGCCCATATCTTATATATTGAAATAGAATATTAACAATGATATAGGACGACAATACATTTTTAACAAAGAAAGATATTATTAAGACTAATATTATCAACAATTAAAGTGAAAAAAATAATAATAATTATATAAATTATAAACAAGATTTTTAATAAGGTTTAAAGGTGTCACGTTGATGGTCTAAACTACATAAGGTCTTGATACTAATATTTGTTAATGTTTTAGATTTTAGAATAAAAAAAGAAGAAAATGAAAAGTGAGATTGTGAGAAGAATTTAATACAAGCTAATGTAGTGCAAATTAATATAATATGGATCTTACATTCTTTTTTATGTAGATAATAAACGCAGCTTAATAATTAATGTTATAATGGGAATGATTAGAACTTTTCAATAGGAAAAATAATTAATACTTTTTATTCTTTTCCAGCTACAATTAAATATATAATAATACAAATATCAATTACACACATATATAATAGTGGTATTAATAATTTTTTTGTAGGCATAAGGCAACTGCCTCACTTGCCTTATGGCTTCCATGGCCCTACCTTGAGTTCTGCAATGTCAGTTCAACTACATCCAATCATGTCGGATATAAATAGTTGCTGCAATATTATTGTCGGTTGCACCTCGTCAACTATGTCTAGCAACTTTCAGAGGAAGCTCTTGAGGTTAAGATCATTGTTTTTCTCTACTGTTTCTACCACGTGATTTGTCACATATAAATCCATATCGAGTAGCCCACTACATTAGTAACCTCAGCTTCTAAAATCGTTTTACCTTTTTTATGATTTCGTTCCTTAATAGATTGATTGGTGTTTCAAGTTCAACCATGGAAACTGAATTTCAACTTTTCTTCCTTCATGCTTAGCTTCTGTGTTTGGTAAATCATAAACTTCACCTTTAGTACAAGGAGAACAAGCCTAGTGTGATTCTTTTTGCCACACTAACAATATCCTCTACGTTTTGGCCAAATGATAGTATAGAAAATAGAAATAGAATAAATAGATTTAATTTGTTTTATGGGTATAAATGTCATTTACTTTGTGTATTATTTTTGTAGGTCAACACAAGACTATAAATACTTTGTATTTGTGCTTGATGATTTATGGAAGATTATTCATTTCATTAAGAACTGGTGTGTAATCTTCTCTTAATAATAGAGTCTATATGACTCATATTCAAAAACTTAACATGATATTTAGATTATGGTTGTTTTTGGGCCTCCTCTGAACAAGATGCACAGAACTTGGACTAAAGAATCCAAGATTCACATTCAAGATCAACTAACAAAGTGCTTAGCATAGCATTTTTTTCAAAGAAGTGGGCTAGATAAACGACAAGATCTGAAGCCTACTATTCAACTCATCCTTATTAGGGGCTCGGGTTGTTTTTTAAGAAAACCCTAATATTCATCTAAGTTGAATGCAAATGGATGAAGATTTTGATATTCACAATTCCTTTACAAGCCTTAAAGATAACACCCTAATGCTAAATGAAGAGAAGAAATCAACATTGGCGGTGAGGACTATCGATTTCACTCATCCGTTATATCTCTGCCCTTTAGACACACAGGCAATCACACTCGTCCTTCACATTTTAACTGGAAG